ATCTTAGAGAACACTAACAAACACTCACTCAAACAACACACGCCCTCACAGGCACACACACACACATCAGCTTTCAGAAGCACGAAGAAGAATTATCACCAGGTACTGAAAAGTTGACAAACTTTTTCAAGAGAAAAGATGTTTAGCTATACAGAAAGCAATTTCATCGCTCAGAGACGAAAACGCGCTTACTTCACTAAAACAAAATAAAAGGAAAAGTGAAAACAAAAAAACACGACAAAAAATATATATACTGTAAAAAAAAAGAAAAAGAAACTAACGGCATGTCGAGCCAACTCGGCACGCCATTAATTCGCGTTATTTTTGACCAAACAAAACGGTAAAAATATTTTGTCATGTAAAACCAGCTAAATATCGAAACTTTTAAATTCACAACCCGATAAAGGAATTCTGAATCTAAGGTAATTTTAATTCACGGCTTATGAATTTTTGGGATGTATAAAGTCGAAGCGGAAAGCACAAACCTGAAAAGCGTGTCTTCATGCGTCACTCGTTTAGGAGAAACCATTTAGAAGTCTTTTTAGAAATTAGAAACTGTTACAGCAGTTCACAGAATTATCAAAATTTTCATTTGACTGTTCATGATATAGAAAGGCTGATGTTTGTTGAGGCCAGCCAGCTCATTCAATGTCCGCAAAAACATCGAACAAATGCGTTTTGTTGTGTAAGTGGTGGACGTATGCAGTGACTGCCACGTTCACTTACAGCACGAACCGGAACTTACGCCTTGGCCGCCACCATCTTGACCAATATCGATACCTTCACGGCCACGTCCTGAAGGACCACCGCCGCTCCCATCGCCCTTTGGCAGTTTTTTGGCTGCAAATACTCACAAAGAAATCAGAAAGCAACAAAAACAATGCAAAAAAAAGCCAGCGCTCTTTCAAAACTAACCCGTTCCTCAATGCTAAAGTAATTATGGTTACTAACCAATAGCAAGGAAAATGTCGTTTACATTCATTGCAGTTTTCGCCGATGTCTCCATGAACAGTAAAGCATTATCTTCAGCATAAGCTTGTGCTTCCTGCAATTATACCTTTGCATATATGTTGCAAAAGGAAGAAGGAGCGAACACCAAGGAAACGAAGATGGTGGCTAAACCCCCTGGCCTTGCCCAGTTGCCCTTCGTTCCCTGTGATATGCAAATGTCTCGTCTCTTGACTCGAGTTCTCTCTCCGTGATATTTAATGTGCTGATCAGAAATGAACTTAAAATTGTTTTTTATGAAA